TGAGATCATCCTGTATATTCCCCAAGGCTTTAAACACCATTTCTCTGCTTCAGACGTCCAAATTTTTTAGCATTAGCTGCTCTACTGGCTAAAACAGAGCTCTCCTCCTCCTCTCTCTTTTTTTTATCTCAGTTTTGCCAATTAATTGCTCAGGTCAAAAGCCATGGAGTCATCTTCAAGTCCCCACCCTCTGCACCCAGTGTGGCAGTGGGTTGTCAGTTCTTCCCATCCCCCTAGCGCAGGCCATCTCTCATCAGGACCACATGAGCAGGGCAGGGCCTGTTGGCTAAACAGCTCAGAGAAGACCATGGTGAGAGCCGGCTGGCAGCAGTGAGACCACTAGGTGACACCCAACGGCGCAGGCCCCGACTGCACCAGGGGCAGCTGAAAGCGCCAGGGCAGTGGAAGGTGGGGTGTGCAGGTGTGCGTGGGGGTAAGGGTGTTTCTCCATTCACAGAGCTTTTAGGTAGGGCCAGGGCTCCTGGCCCATGTGGAGTGCCCTGGTCAGCCCTGGCCTGACCTGCTGACAGCCATGGGGAAGGCAGTACTGTTGCCACAGTCAGGCTGGCAAGACGGTGACTCCTCCATAGAACACGTCATCATCTTAGAGGCCAGGGCTGCTCCTCCCCGTACCAGCAAGTCCTCAACCTCCTTTCTGAAACCCCGTTTCTGTCCTCCCCAGGAAGCCCACACCCTTGGGCACAGCTGTCAGAGGCTGTGTTACTATATATATATATATATATATATATATATATACACATACACACCTGGGGAAAAAACTCCCATCAATCAAGCCACTGCACCAACTGGAAGTGAGGAAACCCACTGTGTCCAATGGAAAAGGTTCAACTACAAGGGCTAGAAGTCAGATGCATGAACTTGCTGCACCCCAGTCTAGGTGGGCTGAGCAAACTCGCTCGTTACAAGGCTGATGGGTGGCCTGCCTGGAACACGTCTGTTGGCAAGGCTGAGGAACTGGCACTCAGAATCCAGAGGCTGGAATGCTGGCAAGTGGCCACCTTGCTGCCCTCTCCACATCTTTGTCCTCTGGACACCCACTTCCTGTCTTTCATTCCTCACAAGGCAAAAGTCCACAGCCCACTACTTGGCAGACGTCCCGACTCCCAGTCTCAAGTCTTGTTTCCTCTTCCTCATGGTTCCTAGGCCTCCATCTTCTAGTGAGAATCCCAGGGCTCAGTGGGGGCTGGAGCAAGATCATGGACTCCTCTATTTTGGGACTCCTCATTCGGGGCCTCTTCTCGCCTGTGAACCAGTGGCAAGTTTCACAGGTTCTACTCAACAGAAGACAGGTTTCTTGGAACTTAAGCAACTGACCAGGCAGAATCCAAATTAAAGCAACCATAAACTAAGCCTGAGTTGGCCACATGAATTTTTTTTTTTTTTTTAAAGATTTTATTTATTCATTTTTTCCCCCCAAAGCCCCAGTAGATAGTTGTATGTCGTAGGTTCACATCCTTCTAGTTGCTGTACGCGGGACTCGGCCTCGGGTTGGACGGAGATGTGGTGCCTCGGGGCGCGCCCGGGATCCGAACCCGGGCCGCCAGCATCAGAGCGCGCGCACTTAACCGCTAAGCCACGGAGCCGGCCCTCACATGAATTTTTAATAACTCAAATATCTAAGAGCTCTACAGCACACTGAAGTGAACATCACTAAAGCACTGCATTAAGTTAGCATTTCCACAGCCAACCTGCAGGACACTGAAAGCGCCTGCTAACTGCTGTCTCTAAGTAGTAGGACTTCCAAACCGTGCTGTGTAGAGATCAGTGCGCTTGGTGCTTTCACTGTCGTTTATACATGTGGTCAGATGCTGGCCTGTGTCCATCTTCTGCACCGGGCTCCTCCTGCAGCAATGGCACAGGACAAAGGAGCGTTTCTAACCCTGCTTTCAACTTTCTCTTAGTTGGGTGCATCCAGTCCTGCGGAACAGCATTCCCAGCTATGCCTGCGCTATTTACAGCACGGCCGAGTCGTGGACACAAAGCTCTGGACCGCACTCGTGAGCTCAACGCTGCATCGCGGGGTAACCTCGCGTGTGGGGACGACTGCTAGCCCCCTTTCCCCACGTCAATGCCCTAAAGCGGCTCCTGCATTAGACCATGACAGGAGGAAGCAGGGCGTCCACTTTGTTCACTGGAGCACCCAGAGCCTGACACAGCCTAAGTGGAAACATGACTGAAGTAGATCAAGTGGATGGGAAAGGGCTTTGAGTTCCAAGGGAAAGGCTGAGGAGCAAACAAATCATGGCTGATATAGTCAAGAGGAGGAGAGGGAAAAGTATTGTTCTGGGAGAGGCTCCACACACGTGACAAGTTGCAATCTGAACCTGAAGAAGAGTTGAGTCTTGCAAATAGAAAGCAGGCTATAAATTGCATAAGAATAGAAATAATTCCTGGATAGAAAAATTTCTTACCTGGCTTCCCCCTCCCAGAAGAGGGAAGAGGCTCAGGCTTATTACTCGACTTGCAGCACTTCAGTACCAACTCCTGCAGCAAGGCTGACACCTGTTAGGAGCCATTGTTCTTGAAGTGATTTCATTGCTGGAAATTGCCAGTGTGATTTCATGAAGGGAGGAGGCTGAATCAGGCCAGTATGCACTGGAAGACCAGAAGAACCAGCCAGGAAAGGCTGGTTCCTTTCTGAGCCTGTATTGTCTGACCTGCTTCCATGGAGAAGAATTGCACAGTTGATATTCTTGATGAGCGCACTTCATGTATATACAAAACTGCTACATTCCGAGGCTCTGACGTAAATGTTCAGCTCTACACAACACAAATGTTTACGTACAACACTGGATCTGGTTAGCAGTAATGTGAGAGCTGCTACACAGATGTGGCAGTCTATTTTTAACACTTTATTGGCAAAACAGAACTCCCTTCCCTCCACCCTTAGAGAACTAGTCCTTTTGTTTTTCTTGTGGGTAACGTAACTTACCTGTTTAACCAAGGCCTGTGCGGGCATGCTACAAAAGTAATTCAGACACTAGCCTACCCCCCACAAGTCTCCCCAGTTCGTTTGAGCTGTTCCTACACAGGGAGCTGTGTCTTATTCAGAAAAGACATAAGCTATAATAGTAATGAAACATGCTGGGCTTTGGATAAACTTTGCTGTCGTATCTTCATTAGCTCAATTAGAAAGAAGAAAGTTATGAGGCTGGCCAGGTGGTGCAAGCGGTTAAGTGCGTGCGCTCCGCTGTGGCAGCCCGGGGTTCGCTGGTTCGGATCCCGGGAGCACAGCGACTCACTGCTTGTAGAGCCATGCTGTGGCGGCGTCCCATATAAAGTAGAGGAAGATGGGCACGGATGTTAGCTCAGGGCCAGTCTTCCTCAGCAAAAAGAGGAGGATCGGCATCAGATGTTAGCTCAGTGCTGATCTTCCTCACAAAAAAAAAGAAGTTACTATGAATAAGTGCGAGTTCCAACATGCAGTCTCTCTGGGGGAAGAACCACAGACCAGTGAGAAAGGAAGTGGATCATGCTGGAAATTTGTAAACATGACTTGCCTAATGCAAAAGACTTCTTAGAAAACCCCAATACTCCGAGTATCAGAGAAACCAGAAGAAATAAGATGAGGACACGAGTATATCAGCAGCAGGGAGGAGGGGAGAGACTGTAAGGAGAAACTGAAAGCATGGTGCTTTGGCCGCAGCCTTCCCTCCCCCACCATCAAGAGAGCACTACACTTCAGGAACCCGGGAAGTTCTAGTGTGTCTGCTGTGGTTAATTTAAGACAAAAGGAGTATTTGCAGTCCCTTTGCCGGAGTTTTAAGGGCTTTGAAGACAAGCAACTGGTATCCAAATTACATTCAGGAGTCCTATGTGGGTACTTTTCCCCTTAAACTTACACAGAAGTGAGGATGACAAAAAATTACATTCCATCTGTCCGGAATTTAGTTTTTTTATGAAAAGAAACACAGGAAAATTAAAATGACCAACTGCCAGGATAATATTTCTAACCATTATTGGCACTTGCCCTTCACTGGAGTCATCTTGGAAGACTCCACCCAACCCCGCCCTTGTCCCCTGATTAATTAGCCATCAGTGTCCTCCGGGGCTAAGAAAGCAGGACAGCTGACAGGCAGCGAGTACACGAGTGTACCTTTGGTTTTCACCAAATCCAGAGGCTGTTTTGAGTTCTGTGGACAACAGAAGCTTCAGCTCTTTGACATCTATAGGACTGAATCAGAGCTGCAGGTGCCCGTCTGGAGACAGACAGGGGCTTCCCACCAGTCTTCTGGAACAGGCAGAGCAGGCGGGAGGTGACAGGAGCTCTGTTTGGTACCAACCACCAAAAGTGAAGATGAGGTGACAAAGGCTAGAAAGGAGTCATTTATTAAAAAAGAAACAAACAACAACAAAAAACAAAACAGCCCTCAGCAGGATTTGAAGACACAACAGAGGAATACACCATCCTGATCGCTTCACACTCCCCTGGCAAGGCAATGCATACTGCCTGTGAGCTTATCTGCCATGACTTCAAGCAGCAGGAACCACAGCATACCAGTTTATTACACAGGTAGACAGAGGCAGGTCACCTACTTAAGGGAGAAACTAGGACGCATGGGCCCTCCTCCAACCTCCGCTGTCAGGCATGCAGGCCACTTCCAGGCTTCTCTCTGCCTCTGAACAATGGGCAACTTCTTATCGGGCTGGGGCTGCTTAGACAAAGGCCAGTGGACATTACTGACACTAGTTACTACCAGACGCTGGCTCTCCAGCAGAGACCACAGCACAGGGTCAGACTGTAAGAGGACGGAGCAGCTTGTTCTTTCCGCAATTTCTGGAATGTACGGCACACCCGAGAGGGGCATTTGACATTTGTCCCCAATACCCAGTTGTCACCACAGGTAAACCAAGACTATAATCACAACAGCGAGGACAGAAGTGTGTTGCTTTTTTCCTTTTTTTTTCTTAAAGGAGGGCATGTAAAATACAGCACACCAATGAAACAAAATGCCAAAAAAAAAAAAAATACAAAAAAATAGAAAATAGAAAAATGTATTTACAAGTAGTACATTACTATGATCAGAAAGCACAAAGACACCTGCTGCTATAATACATGCATTGGTTCGAGAAGAAACTACTAAAAGTCCTGCGAGGGAGAAGCCTGTGAAAACAAAAAAAGGGCCAAAAAGTTTTAACTTTTCATCCCTAATTTGCTACACTGATCAAAACCAAACGGGAGTCCCCTAAAGTCCATGAGTATATCAGTACAAATACTATACCGGTTTTTAACTGCACGTTTAGTTGTGGAGGGGAAAGACAGCAGCTTATCCATATACAAGGAAGCCAGAGTAAACTGCTTTACATGCTAAAAATTACAGCAAGCCCCTGTCTGCTACACAGCATGACCTTAGCAGGTTTTAATTTTGTTTATTCATATATATCTATGTGCGTGTGTATGTATAAAAACCGTGCCCTCGTTCACTGCCAACACAACACCTGGGTGGACATGAACTCATTACAACAAGTTCTTACGTGTATGCTGTTAAGAAGTCACTCAGTGTCTGTGGATTTAATAAGTCACTTCACACCACAGAAAATATTTAATAAATCCAAAAAAAGGAAAGAAGAATATAACGACAGAAGAGCTTCTGTCTCAGTTCTCTGAAACTGAGTCCCCCACAGGAAACTGGTCCCAAAGTTCTTGAGGGTTCACTGAAGAAACTTCGGTTTGCTAATGTTTTCTTCCTTTTAGTGTTCAAAAGGTATAGAACGACTCCTTGCCGTTGTCAGTTTTAAACAGTCACATCTCCATCCCCCACAGTCTGGGGCAGATCCATAACACGGGGAGGAGGAGCGCTGGGGAGGGCCTGTCACTTCACGAGGGGCTCCACCTCTACAATGGCAGGAAGAGAAGGAACCAAGCAGGCTCCAGCACCTCGCTCCTGCAAACAAGCTCCCTGCAAATGCAAAATCCAGTCACACGTCAGTTCCTTAAACAGGTACGTCTCCGAGTACCAGGCCAGCTCTAAGAGGAAACAAAACCACGCGTTGACAGAAAAGGACTAAGATGGCCATTCTGGTCACTCTCTGTGACCCATCATACTTCCAGGAATCGGGAGCTGCTGGACTTGGAGTGGAATGGCTCAGACCACATCCGCCGTAGGTCACCCTGGGAAAGAGGGAACTGCACTCAGTTACAGATTTAAACAAGAGGCACACGTATCTACAGGTCCTTTCTGATTCTTGATCTCAGATCAGATTTCTTCTGCACAGAATCAAAGAACATTCAAATTCTACTCACCAAAAAGTAACCCATCAATATTCAAAGAACTCACCAGAAGAGCTCTTAGGCCCCTTGAGCAGGGAAGGAACTCCATCCTGGTGTAAGTTCTATCACTTAGCAGTCAGAAGATCTAGGCAAGTTAATTAACCTCTGTTGGTTTCCTCATCTATCAAATGGGGATGATAATCCAAGTCTTGTAAAGAAGAGAATGCTCTAAGTCTAGTTTCTATCATACATTTCTTTTTTTAAAGATTTATTTATTTTTTTCCCCCCAAAGCCCCAGTAGATAGTCGTATGTCATAGCTGCACATCTTTCTAGTTGCTGTATGTGGGACGCGGTCTCAGCATGGCTGGAGAAGCGGTGCGTCGGTGTGCGCCTGGGATCCGAACCCGGGCCGCCAGCAGCGGAGCGCACGCACTTAACTGCTAAGCCACGGGGCCGGCCCTCTATCATACATTTCTTAATTATTTCCAAACTTTAATGCAAAGTATTAAAACAGCTGTTAGGTGGCAAGAGAGTGCTGCTTTTAAGAGAAACAGGAAGTCTCTGCAGCTGGGCTCTAGGGATTTCAGTTAATTAACCTATGACCAGGTGGTGCAGTAGTCTAACTCATTAGCATTTTCTGCCAGTGGCTGCAAGAATCGGGAAGAGGTTGCTAATATCAGGTTAGCAAAAACAAAAAACAACCAACAACAAAAAAATCCCACTGTCAAGGTGAAGAGCTCAGGTGCTTAAGCATAACCACTTCCAGCACAGAGAATACATACCCAAGTCCAGGGTCAATGCCAAGTTATTGCTTTCACAGGTTTATAACAGCTGCTCTCACCTTTAAATAGGCCATTGTGAGGAGTGGCAATAAGGTAAATGGCACCAAGTAGAGAAGGGCGGGCTGAGCTGCTCGGTGAATGCGAGATGCCACAGTAGCAGTGAGGAGACCTAGGAGGAGAGAAACATTCGTCAATAACCAAGGGCCAGCCCTGAGAGGAAAACCTGTTACCTGCTGCTGCTTGGCAGAGTCTTGAGATGGTACATATCTAATGTGACATATACCATCCAACGTTTAGGGTGTGAAATGCCCAGCTTGAGCAGTTAAAGAAATGTGAAACAGCACAGCTTTAAAAACCCTAGAATTCCAAGGACCCATGACTGGCCCAAGTGCCACTCGGTGCTCAGGTTCCTGCTTAAGCTCTCACTTCAGTCCTGGGCATGCCGTGCCTGGTCTCCCTGTCTCCTGTGGTATGCGATACTAGACTTGGAGGCAAAGACTTGAGTCCACATCCCAAATCTGCGACTTACAACAGCTGAGTACCTTGGTTAAAGCACTGCACCTCTCTGAGCCTCGGCCTCCTCTTCTGTCTAATGGGGATAACACCACCTGCCCTGCCCGTCTCAGAGTTTCTGGACTGAAATGAACCCGTGTATATGAGGGTGCTGTGGAATCAGTGAGGTGCTGACGTTCAGAAGGAGGCACAGCGGTGAGAGGTGTTCCTTCCTCCCCGTCGGCTGCAGCGTCACAGGAGCAGACAGGTTACCCCTGTTCCTAGCCCAACTGCAGCGGTCTCCCTCCTGTCTGCCTGTCAGTGAGGTGGCTTGAGAAAAACCAGCCCATGGAGCCCGAGGTTGGAGGGGACGGAAATGTCGGAACAAAGGAAGGGAAATATTGGTTTAATAAAGTAGAAAATAAACACGACATTCATTAAACTCAAGTTGAAGGTTTAATTAAGCACAGACTGATCCATGATCATTGTGTGGTAGGGGTTCTTGACTTTGATGCCTGACCATACTCTTCCTACAGTGTTCTTTAGACATATCTGTTGGATAGGGAACTGGGCTGCCTAGTTGAGAGAGCCTCTATCATCTCACAGGCCAGTGGGTTTTCTTCCTTTGTGGTTATCTATAACAGCAACGAGTTACTGCTCTCCTTCCACCCAGCATCTGCAGCTAGAAGACCTGATTTAATTGCAGGGGTTGAAGGCCAGCCAGAGAGGGGATCACACACGACCTCTCTGGTTCTCTCTTACCTACAAAGTATCCAATGAGGGTGCAGTGAAAGTAGGAGACCTTCTGCATGCGTCCAGAGATGTTGGCGGGTCCAGAGGCACTGCAGGAGTCACCATTGGCTTGTTTTTTGTAGTTGTCATAACGAAGGACAAAGCACAACAGGAGGCCAGGCATCACAATGTCTCCAATGCCCAACATAGAGAAGTGACTGCCAGTGGAGCTGGAAGGTAGTGTCACAGGTCAGGGAGGCCATACACTACAATCCCATTTCTCCTCCTCCTGGCAAAGTCTGTCAGCTTTTTAAGAAGTCAAAGAACTGATCTGAATGGTAGATGGAAATAGGTACTGGTTGAACAACACTAGTTTTTAAGAGTAGAGATTAAGAGCCACAAGAGCACTGGCAATAGGGGTCTTCCACCAGGTGCCTCAGTGCTTCAGGAGAGCACCTCATCAGCGACTGCTGAGGGGATCCGCTCAAGCACGGCCTCCCCTAGAAATGTCATGCTCTTCACTATCTGTCACACATTCACTGCGGAGACTTCAAATAAGCACCTGATTATTACCAGACCCAAGGAGATTAAAGCAGCACATTAATGTTTCAAAGATTATATTACCAGGAACTGTAATAATTTTAAGCATTAAGACAGATTTTTTACAAATGTCATAGAAGTAAAAAAGATCCAGATTCTCCTGTTAATTCCCTCCAGCCAACTTGGAAATATGGTAACGGTAGTAACATATGGTTGTTTGATAACATCAATCAATAATAAAAAGCAGCACCTATAACACTTAATGAGAAATCTTCACAAGTTAAGTCAATGTACTCTTCCTCATTTGTAAGATGGAGATGATGACTCCAGCCCTTTTCCAGCCTAAGATTAGATGCTGATGACCAAGACAGACTATTCAAGGAACAGAAGGCACAGGAAGGCAGTCTGTTCATTGTCACAGGACAAGGCCCAACATGCCAGTCCTACCTTGGGAAGACCAGTTTTCCAGGCAGAGACAGGCGAGGAACGTCACGCCCAACATTGGGCCCCAGGTGGAGCTTCCGGGATAGAACGTCAAGGGGATTGTCAGCCGGCTGTGTGGCCACCTTCACCATGACATTGCTATTAAAGATATAGGCGGAGAAGAACACCTGCCGAGTGGAGAGTCACATTTAACAGAGGGAGCTGGAAGCAACCTGATTTCAGCATCAGCCCTCTTTGTTCCTAAGAGCAGAGTCTCAGAATACTGCAGTATCAAGTGCTGCATGCTTTGAGGAGAAAGAAAATCTTTGCTCTTCTTGTGTACTCGCAGGTTTCCTCCCTCCACACCCAGAGAATAATCCGTTACAGTGTGGCTGACAACAGCTCCCAGGGCAGAGAACCTTGTCTGCCTGCTCCCCCTTCCACTCTAAGAGGCTCACGCATACTATCTACTTTAACACGTCTCAACAAAGGCTCAGACAGCTGCCTGCTGCTCACCTTTTAACACTTGCAGTTCAGGACTGGAGACAGTGGCCTAAGACAGTAGGTCCTCTGGCCAGCCAGACTTTGGATACTTAGAGTTAACAAATTTCAGGAGTGAATACTCCAATTAAACACAAAGGAGAGCAGTGGCTTCAGGGAAACACTTACCCAAAAGACATCGTAGATTAGAAGCCCTGAGAGAAGCAGGCAGGAGACCTTGAGGCTGGGCAGGCGGACGAAGGCGATCATGGCAACACAGAGACCCATGGCCAGGGCTGGGGAGGAGACAGCAGTCAGTGTGGAGTACAGGCTCATCCTCTTTCCACAAGCTATTCAGCTTATAAACCTAACACAGTTTGTAAGTCCTAAGAAAAATCAGGCTGCCCTAAGCGCCAGTATGAGACATTTACACCCTACTAGTGCAAAGTGCCCCCTTTAACCCTTTTTGACCTGCCAGTATTTGGGGAAATCCCTTTTCTCAAGCTAGATAGTGCTCAACTGTGTAAGACCCAGGAGATTCTCTTATTTTGGACGATAAAGCTCTAAGACACGCTCAGTGCGGGACCTCCTGCTCTCATTTCCTGCCTCCCCTTGGTTTCTGCAGATACATCACCCTTGCTCCTTACTTTAAAGTCAACTCACACCCTAGACTGCATCCTCTTTCATTTACTCAAGGACATTATTCCAGCAATTCATTCTTCTCTGTCTATCCTTGTATTTCTTCCCTCCCTATCCTTGCCTTTTTTTTCCTTGCACCTCTCAAAATCTGACATACCATGTATCTTTTTAAAAAATTCTCCCTCTTCTCAACTAAAATGTAAGGTCCTTGAGGGCGTGGTTCCCCGTCACATCCGTGGGGTCTAGAGCAGGCCTGGCAGACGAATGGTCTCTCCCTGCCTTCAGCTCTCCTTTCTTCTGAAAACATAGGTCTCATTAGGCCACACAGCTCCTTACAAACTTCCTGTGGGTTCTTGTCCTAGTGGGATGGAAGCTGAACTACTTGGCCAGGCAGGGGCAGGAGGTACAGGAGGACATTCTCCACTGTGTAGCTCCCCACCCTCAGCATGCACTTCCTCCTGCTCTGTTCTCTAGCCACTCAAATATGATCATACGTCTTTTTTTGTTTTTGTTTTTTTTTTGTGAGGAAGATCAGCCCTGAGCTAACATCTGATGCCAATCCTCCTCTTTTTGCTGAGGAAGACTGGCCCTGGGCTAACATCCATGCCCATCTTCCTCTTGATCACACATCTTAACACATACTACGTTCTTTCCTGCTCTACACAGAAGGCCCTGTCCTGGGCTTCTTCACCTGGAAAATTCATCCTCATTCTTCAAGAGCCAGATCAGAAAGCCCTTCCTCAGGGAGCCCTTCCTGCTCTAACTAGATCGTTTTTTCTTTGTGATGCCACAGAACTTTGAATATCTCTCAAATCACGTATCTATTCTATAATAGTGTGATTATTTAAATACAAGGGAGTTTATTCCCTCAACTAGGTGCTCCTGGTAAACAGAAACCATGGCTTACTCTTTTTGTGGATCCCCAGCACTTGACAAAGTACACATTCAATAAATATTTGCTGAATGAATGAAAAATTATGTTCTATCAACTTTAAATTTCAAATTAATCTAAGGAAAGTAAGAGAAGCAAGGAAAGCCCTATTACAGATGTGTATCATTTTAATAGAATTGGTGGTAAACTGTCAATATATCTAACAAAGTGGGCAAATATAGCAAAAACAGGACACTGAAAGGGATAAGCTCAGGTGGCTCAAGGAACAGCAGTGGTCAGTTGTGGGTGCAAAGCCCCTGAGGCAGAGGTGGGGAAGTGATGACCAGAGAACAGGTCAAACACATATTTGGGTAGAAATGCTGGCTGGGGTGATGGTGGTAGGGTAGTAAGAGGTGATCTGTTCAGGAGCTTACAAGTGAATGTGTGCAGTGCAAAGCATCAACGGAATAAAGGAAGAAATGAAGGCCTAAGATAGACAGAGGAGAGACAGGAGTGAGGATCAGAGGACTGACTGATGATAACCGAAAGAGAAGTACGGAAACCAACTGGACAAACAAATGGGCCAGCTTCCAAGGTTAAACGTGCACGCCTCTGTAACACATGCAGGTGACTGGTCCATTCCGGAACTTTTCTATTCGACTGACCATACAATCACTTAATGTTAAACCGGCAGAAGGCTTTACAGGTCATACGGTCTAAGCATCCACTTGTTGCTTTGTCACTCATCTTACATTAATCCTACCCCACCTGGTTCAAAACCAAATGTGGACAAGACAGAATTGCTCAGAGTCAGAATTTTCCATGACTCTAGACAATGTCATCCTATCCCTAATCTTCCAAACAAGAAACTCCAGGTTCATTTTCAATTTATCACAGTCTTTCATCAAGTACACTCAATCTGCAGCCATCCTGGGGTGTTACTCGTTATTGTCACTGTACACCTTGGTCATGCTTCCCCACATTTCCTAGCTTGATGTGTGTCCTTTCCTACTTTCTTTCCTCTCCGACTCTATCCCATTCTTCACTGCCATTGTCAAAAATCAGTTCAGGGCCGGCCCCGTGGCTTAGCGATTAAGTGCGCACGCTCCGCTGCTGGCGGCCCGGGTTCAGATCCCAGGCGCCCACTGACGCACCGCTTCTCCAGCCATGCTGAGGCCACGTCCCGCATACAGCAACTAGAAGGATGTGTGCAGCTATGACATACAACTATCTACTGGGGCTTTGGGGGAAGGAAAAAAAAAAAAAAATCAGTTCAAACCATTTCCTGCCTTAAGGTTGCTAGGTTCCCTACTCTGTGATGGATCAAGTCTAATTATAAAGTTGCACCGCCTGGGACACAACTCCTTTTTAACATTTTTAAGATTATCAAACAGTAAAATTGAGTTTTTCTTTAGAGGTAGAGTTTCATGAATTTTAACACATGCATAGATTTGTAGAGCCACCACCACACTCAGCATACAGCGCAGGTCTAACACCCCAATAAAATCCCTGTGCTATTTCTTTATAGTCACACCCTCCTCCCCACATAACCTCTGGCAACCACCGATCTGTTCTCCATCACTATAATTTTGTCTTCTTAAGCAAAAAATATATTGTTAAAATAATTTTATTGTATGTTTTGTATGTTTTATAAGTTAAAAGTGCTTTTTCTATAATTATCACCTTTGATTAAAATAATATATTCCATTTAAATATAATTTTACAGAGCTTGCAATCCACTCTATAGTTTGTTCCCTCATAATGTTCAGTTTCTTAGAGTTTTTCACTAATTAACTTGGCACATATAAACTTTAAATTCTTGTACTGGTCAAAGTAACTTATGAGGAAAAGAAATCCCTAGAAACAGAGGGATAAGTTTTCAGTTTTCCTTAAAGTTTAAAATTTCTTCTCATTAAGATTATGTCACTAATTCTGGATCACAAAAAAAAATACAGTTTAAAATCCTTTTGGTCAAATTCTATCCAATTTGACCATGAGCAGAACATCCTTGGTTTTGAGTTAATTCACATTTTTGATGCATTTTAGAAAAATTATAAATATAAAAACACCACTAAAAAAACCCCAAACTGTGTACCAAATACTACTCAGCAAACTTAAGATCAGTCACAGAAAGCATATATCTATATACTGTCATGGAACTTAACAATTGTGTGAATAACTTAGCTACTGACTGAGGCACGGACAGTAAGCATCACTCTGAGTGGCTCTGTGCTTAGACAACACTGAATGACAGCTCCGCCATAGCTGAGCCAGCCTCTGAGCTGCAGGGACACAGTGCCTGGCAGAACGGAGCAGAGACTCTCAGACCTGGCAGTTGCTCCCAAAAAGCTCTGTTTCCAAGGTCTTGATAGCCTTGTGGTTGCATGGAATGGATAACAGGAGTAAGTGCAATCCATACCCATAATCCCTGATTTTCAAATTCCTCGGCTAAAAATTCTTTAGATAGTATTATAAAAAGTTTAAAATTGACTTTTGTATTTTAACTTCCTTCCCCTCTGAAACACCAAAAGAAAGGAAAAGCTGAACAGATTTTATGGGGCAGAGTAGTCAGATGAAGTTTCTTGAGATTAGGAAAGCAAACTACGAAAATGAGAGTAAGGACTGAATGAAAAAGGAGGTGGAGACAGTACAGGGTCTTAAAGAAAAGTTAAAAAATGTCTTAAGGGAGAGAAAAAAAGAATAATGGGGGACTTTTGGAAATGTTTCTCCAAGATGTTCTGATAATAAGCATGAAGGAGTTCTGTGACTTTGAGTGAGTTACTTCTCTGAACCTCTGTTTCCTCTTCTGTAAAGTGGGAACAATAATAGTACCTACTTCCAAGAGTTGTTTTTGGGAATAAATTTGATAATCCATGTAAAACAGCCAGCAGAGTACCCAATGCATAAAAAGCACTCAACAAATGTTAGCTATTATTGTCATTATTTCATCATCATCATCAGTGAAGGGAAATTCTCATATGCAACAGGTAGGAGCATAAACTGCTATACCCTCTCTGAAAGGCAGTACAGTAACAGATAAAAAATTTTTAAAATACAAAACCCTGTTCCAGAATTTCATATCTAGGAATTCATCCTTAGAAATACTCTTACTAAGTAACCTGACATGCACACTAAGACATGGAACAAGAGGTGAGGGAGCACGGCTGAGTGGGCCAAGAGATGGAACAAGAATGCTTACTTCAGGGTTATTTACAATAGAAAATGATTAAAAACAATCTAAGGATCGAGCAATAGTTAAATAACATACACACGATGGAATACTCTGGAACTTAAAAAAGGATATGATACACCCATATAGACATGTATTTACATCATTACGTAAAAGGAGTATACTGTATATAACATATTATACATGACATATATTTATATATAACATGTATGTCATATTACAGTATAATCCCATTTATATAAGAAAGTATAGTCTATACAAAAACTTGTACACAAATGTTCACAGCAGCATTATTCACAATAGTGAAAAAAGTAGAAACTGATGAATGGATAAAGTTGGTAGATCTATACAACTAATAGGATTTGGCCATAAAAAGGAATGAAGTACTGATACAGGTTACAAAATGGATGAACTTTGAACACATTATGCTAAGTGAAAGAAGGCAGACACAAAGGGTCACAAAATGTATGATTTTATGTGAAATGTCCAGAAGAGGCAAATCCATAGAAACAGAAAGCAGATTAATGGATGTCTGGTGCTGGGGTTGGGAGGGATGAGGAAGTGACTGCTAATGGGTGTCGGTTTTGGAGGGGGGTTGATGAAAGTACTCTAAAATTGATTGTAATGATGGTAGCACAACTCTGTGAATATACTAAAAACCACTGACTTGTACACTTAAATAGGTAAACTCTATGGCATGTGAATTATATCTCAAAAAAACTTTTATTAAAAAATCTTAAGAGTTTACCAAAAAAAAAAAATCACTTGACAACCAAAAAAAAAAAAAAAAATCTTAAGAATGTGGATAAAAATAATAAAAAACTCAATGATACATAACACCATCTTTGGACACCTAATATTCATGGTAATCAGAGGTAATAGAGGTAATAGTACTAAAACACAAAGTAGAGAGAGGACAAATTTAACTATAAACTATATTAAAATTTCAACTTGACACATATTAGTTACTTACCATCCATGAGAAGCCAATGACCAGTGAGAACCCAGATGAGGACGAGCATGACAGACAGAGAGAACGATAGTAACTCAGCAGCAGTGAAACGCCCACAGCAACCAAAGGAAATCCTAGAAAACATACAATATTTATTGGACTGATAGGCAATAAATTATATTCAATAACCAAACTCTGCTTTGGTTCTTCATCATCAAAGTTCATGATGGTCAGCTCAGAATAGCAGGCAATAAGATACCCAGAATTCCAAAATACCCAAACCTCTTTGCAGTAAACTATAGAAAGCTCAGAGGAATTATACTTCTGTACCCATTTGATAATGCACTTTTTATCCCAAATTATCAACATGAGTCTTTGTAAGTTTAAAGTGACAATATCAGTCTTTGGAGAATCTAAATATAAGGGAAATTCTGTTCTTATGAGGAAAACAAAATGAAGAAAGTCAACAATTCAACTGATTTAGCAAAGATGAATAAATATTTATAACATGGTAAATCTATTTGGTTATCACTAATTCCTGGGAAAATCAGCTGCCCCAAGTGACTGGTTTCCTAAGTGCATACAGCATCTCCATTAGCAAAGCATTTTGTTTCTATGGAGCAACGGCTTTGGGAGTTAAGGTGTGAACACTGGGATTCTAGGTCACCGAAGATGAAAGGCAAAGAAGAATGTTTGAGTCAATCACTATTGTAAAGGAATGAAAAAGATGCTTCGAAAGAAAACCGGTCATCTTTCAATAATCTAAGCAGGAAGCATATTACAATGACTCTGACTTCCTAAAATCTGTTTATATTTCCTCTGCTATGAAAAGGTGCAAAAGGAAGTACTAGCTTCCAGTTTTAAAGATCAACCGTCTCACTTCCCAGTTTCCTAGCATTTGTGTGCTCCAGTAAATACCAGAAATTCAAACTCCTAATAATGCTATTAAATATGAGAGAAAAACATACAAGTTTATAATTCAGAGGAAAATCCCAAGCCCTTACTTGTTCTGAGGTGAACAGGGTCTTGTTAAATACTGGCACATCGGGAGAAGAAGAAAAGCAAAAGCTATCGTTGCAAGAACTAGAGAAAGAAAATGTATGGTCAAATTTTGTTGTTTATTTTTTACCAGTTATAAGAAAATAGTAAGACTTATGGAAACAATCATTGCCCAGAATGCTTTGCTTGACAAAGTGAGTACAATTAAATTAACTGGAAAAGAAAGAGTCTTCCTTTAGCATTGTATAGATAACCTCTTAAAATAAAAGTACCTGATTTGAAGTAGGGGGAAGCATAGGTCGGTTTTCTCATTCTCTTCTATCTCAACAAGAAAAGATAAACAGCAGGCCAGGGGATGATCTCCTAACAAGTCTAGCATTTTGTTGATGTTTTATACATTTCCATCATCATTTAGCTTGAAACTGATCAGAGAGCTGACAGTTTAATTGCTTTGGTTAGCTATCAATGTTTCTATCTACAGAAACATCGGTAGGGGTGCCACGACCACTCTGGCAAACTGGACCTTCTGGTAACCTACCAGACAAGGAGCCACAGCCAAAGCGATCCTGCTTTGGTGTCATAAAGCTCCGGAGTTTTCAAACCCCTGGCCTTTCGTTCAGAATGTGTTGGCAGGTCTGAACTGATGATATGTGTTAAGTAGTTCAAAGAGGGGTGGGGGGAGAAAAAGCCAGACTTATAAATTTTGAATAATGACAAAAAAAGGTGAAAAAATTTCCTTTTAGGTTACTGTTAAGTATAGACAGAGAGACTCATTTACCTGCTGTACATATTGTAAAAACTACTTGAACTGAGTCAAAGAAGAAGAACATTACTAGGAGAGAGACAGATGCTCCAATTGGAAGGAACAGGGCCTGGGTAGAGTCAATAGTTTGGATACCTGAAGGAGAGAAAAAGGGACATATTAATGACTTATGTAACAGGTACCAAGTCCATGTGCTGTAGATACATTAATTCATTAAAATGCAGACAGTTCTAGGGATTAGTATTTAAGAGGACCTAGAGATCATCTAGGTCCTCTGATTCTTTCCTTCCCAATGAGATTACGAGCACCTTGCTCTCCTACAGTGCCCTTCATTATAGCAGATGCTCAAGAAATACTGTTGAACTCTACTACCTCCTGGTGTAACCATCCGGATGACAGAGTGCCCCACCTCCCTGCGCCAGCTTAAAAAAAACAACATTAAGAGGTAGTAAAGGGCCAGCCCCATGGCTTAGCGGTTAAGTAAGCACGCTCCACTGCTGGCGACCCGGGTTCGGATCCCGGGCGCGCACCAACGCACCACTTCTCTGACCATGCTGAGGCTGTGTCACACATACAGCAACTAGAAGGATGTGCAACTATGACATACAACTATCTACTGGGGCTTTGGGAGAAAAAGGGAAGAAAAAAAAAGGAGGACTGGCAACAGATATTAGCTCAGTGCCGGTCTTCCTCAGCAAAAAGAGGACGATTAGCATGGATGTTAGCTCAGGACTGATCTTGCTCACCAAAAAAAAAAAAAAAAAAGATTATTTGGTAGAGAAGGAAAACATGGCAAAATCTGATAACCAGTGAATGAAAAGAAAAAATGACTAATTTTATCTTGTGAGCTATCTAGTTCCAAATTAACCCTGCTGAGATTATCATAAGGTACATGAGAGGAACCAAGGAAGACATTTTCATATGACCTATCATAAAGAAATACTAGTGGGGCTGGCCTGGCAGCGTACTGGTTAAGTTTGTGTGCTCCACTTCGGTGGCCCAGGGTTCATGGGTTTGGATCCCGGGCGTGGACCTAGGCACTGCTCATCAAGCCATGCTGTGGCAGGTGTCCCACATACAAAATAGAGGGAGATGGGCACCGATGTTAGCTCAGGGCCAATCTTCCTTGGGAAAAAGAGGAGGATTGGCAATGGATGTTAGCTAAGGGCTAATGTTCCTCACGAAAAAAAAAAGGAAATACTAGAAGTAAAAGTTTCTCTTCATTAAATTAAGGCTATGAATAAAATACTATGTGACCAGGATGAACATAACTAGACACAAAGGGTTGCAATCATCAACCAACATTTAAAACTGCTGCTCGGTATTGAAATTTACTTGTCCCCAAGAGAGCTACTTAGGGATTTTGGTGAAATAAAGTATTAAATATTTCTAAAAAACAATTTGCTTCTTATTGGCTGGGTAGATGAATCAAATAATTCACTTAGGAATAGGGCAATTCAATTTAGGAAGAGTGATCTATCTGTCAAGACGAAAAGAAATGATCTAGTGAAGAGGTCTGTCCTGAACTGCAGTCAAGACCCATTCAGCCTGGCCCATAGATCATTTTAGGGGGAGGCATATCTTAAAGTGTCTTATGGATATTTCTCTTTATGGACAAAACTCTATGAAATTTCTAAATTTCACCTAAATAGTTTTTTTATTGGAGTGCTCTACAACAGTTCAAAGAAGAACTAGAGGAAACTACATTTCAGGTGTTTTTCAAAACAGAAAATGATGATTTCTCAAATAAATGATTGTCATATGATAAGAAACAAATCTTTAAAAAGATCTATAAATCTTAAAACATACACCCACACTTCCCCCTCTGTAAAACAAAGCATCATATAGTCTACAGATTAATTATATTGGTTTAAAACATGAACAGAAAAATTAAACAGCTGGCTAGAACAATGACTGTTTTGTAAGTCAGATATATGAGAAGTATTTATTTATAATAAATCTAAATTTTAGAAGTTTAGTCTGCAATTAAAATGCAAAACTGAATACAAAGAACCTTTCTAGAATATTAGATAGAATGCCCAGAGTTTTGTTTTTTGAAAGCACAGATTTTAAACCAGGAGGTATTAGCCACCGCTTCCATTAGTTTTATAGGATGCCCCAGAAAGTTTACCAAAACAGCAGTGTTACAGGGCAAGTGAAGCTCCTTTTGTGGCTGATAATATGCTACCTAAAATAATGTGCACAACTTCAATACTGCACTTCCTAAAGGTCTGGAGATAATGGTCCTGAAGGGGAAGGAGCTAATTAATTAGAAATTTTAGCCAGACTCCAGTGACTTAAAAACAAAACAAAACAGAGCAAAGCAAAACAGAGCAGCCATTAACTGGGAGGACTTACTCAAGTGCAGTTGCATTATCTTTAAAGCTAAAATCAACATAAGAAATAGGCATGGTGATGGAATTAAAAATGAGGTACAGAGACATTACTTTTAGCATTCAATGAACAAGGCTACAGGCTAAAAATATGTCTGGTCATGAAACAGACATTGAGCAACACACCAATGTATTACTGGTAATTGTTTAGAAAGTTACTGATTTTGCACCTCCATGAGAAAAGCATGCTTTTGACTAAATATTTACCAAACACTTATTATACAGTAGGCAACCTGGAGGGATTAAAAAAAAAAGTCATTTCCAGATCTTGTGAAGTTTACAGTCTAGGTAGGGAGATTAAGATGTATATCTCTTTTAATGAAGAGAATTCCAACTGTACATCTCCACTAATCTCCGTAGTTCAAACAAATTATATGAGACGACTAGTAAAGGACTTCAAGATGTCAGATAATGGGGGAAGGGCGGCTTTTTTTTTTTTTTTAACCCACTTAATACTAATTAAATGAAGGACTGACGTGCCAGGAGGAAAAATATCTCTATATAGGTTTCTTGGGGCAGATGTAGGGATGAGACAGGAGTTAGAACAAGGTTAGGGAAAATTAGAGAGGACCCGCAGGGAACTCCCTCCCCTCCACTTTCTTTCTGACCCTTGTTATTGTAAAACCTAACACACAGACAGAAAAGTATATGAAACAAAAATGTCAAGTTCAGTGAATCATCACATAGCTAATACCACCCAGGTCAAGAAAGAGGTGGGGCCGGCCCAGTGGCTTAGCGGTTAAGTGTGCGCGCTCTGCTACTGGCGGCCCGGGGTTCGGATCCCGGGCGCCCACTGACGCACCGCTTGTCCAGCCATGCTGAGGCCGCGTGCCACATACAGCAACTAGAAGGATGTGCAACTATGACATACAACTATCTACTGGGGCTTTGGGGAGAAAAAGGGAAAAAAAAAAAAAAAGGAGGAGGATTGGCAATAGATGTTAGCTCAGTGCTGGTCTTCCTCAGCAAAAAGAGGATTGGCATGGATGTTAGCTCAGGGCTGATCTTCCTCACAATCAATCAATCAATCAATCAATAAAGAGAAAGAGGATCCTGCCAAGCCCGGAAGTCTTATTGTGCCCCTCCCAATCACTACTCTTTCTCTTTCCCCCAAAGGGAACTACTATTCCGGCTTTTATGATACTTTCTTCTTTGTTTTACTTTATATTTTTCTACCCAAGCATGCATCCTAAAATACTAATATTTATTTTGCCTGTTTTTTGAACTTATTATATACACTGAATTATATAGTATGTATTTTTTTGTGTCTGGCTTCTTTCGCTCAACATTGTGATAAATATCAATGCTGTTAAAAAGACATAGTTGTATTCACTCATTTTTAAGTCTTTTTCACAAATTTCTTGATTCTTATTTATTTTGGGAGTAGGCAACTGCATCCTTTAAAAAACCTCTCTCTACTCACTTTCTCCTTCAATCAGTTCAGAATACTCTTGTCAAAACACTCAATTCATACCTTCCTTTTCTTAGAACTCTCCCCCTAATTCTTCTATATTGTTGATCATTCAGGAGGACTTCAATCTCTTTAGCACCTACACAATCTCTTGCGTTTCTCTGTTCATCTTTTTGGCTATTACTATTTCTTTGACTTTTGATAAATGCACCCCGTTTTCCACGCCACCCCTTTAATCTGGAATGGTGTCATACTCCATAATCAAGTACTGGCCTTCTCTGCAACGGCCATTTCTTTCACTATGTTGTTCCTAATTATGTGGATGTGGACTGCATTCTCTCCTAATCTGTCCTTATTCCTTTTGGTATCCATGGCCCACATGAGGCACTGAAGAAATATATTTGTTGAGGTTAATTTCCAGGAGGCGCATTTAAGAAAATGATCATTTAAACAACCATCTACCACTCTTTAGATGCTGGTCAGTAACGAGAAGTAAAAAACTGATGTTACCAGGTAACTTCCTTCCACTGTATGCACTGACTTAACCATTTACTTATTTGAGGATAAAATGGTACTTAGACACACACTATCAATTTCTCTTAGGTTTCTGTGATGCAATGTACATCAGATTTATAATCCAGTTCAAGTACATCATTTGTATATATGCTATATAACACAGGACTTTTAAAGAGTTTCAAGAATATAAAGTGATTTGGATGAAAATGTTGACAGAAGGTAAGCTACTATATAATAATTTAACCTGAAAATTGGATACTGACACTGAATTTTCCTTGATTCCCGGTAAGTTACTGGTATGGTATTTTACCTTATACGAGGATCTGTGACATAAGTTTAAGAAAAGACTCATTACATTTAAATGATTCTACTTACTGTACTTATTATGCCCATGTTACACTGCTGGGGACAATGAAACATTTAACTGGGCAAAAACTGGGCAAGTATAGTTTGGGCAGTATAGTGTATTATAATAACTAGAGAAACTAAAATAGATATAAGTGATCTCTTTTTAACTTCTAAGACCCTCCACCAATATTCTACCTAACTCTGTATTAGATTCCCAGTATTTCCTCCCTATTAGGTAGTGACTTGAATCTGTCCTATAAGTCACTTTCACTCTCCTCTGTGCCTGTTGTTATACACTCTTCCCACCTGGAACTTCTCCACCAATCCAAGTTCACTGTTTCAAGTTTCCAGTCAAACTCACCTTCTCTAGGAAAGAGTCTCTTACTAACTTGACTCATTGTTGCTCACCTCAACTTGCCTTTCTCTTTACTCTCTTTGTACACAGATGTCAAAATGACTTCATCTCTAGTGCTTACTCTGATCTACTGATAGTAGATGCTTGTTCAGAAGGACTCTGAGGCAATGTCAAAGGTCTGTGCGAAAAAGTACCTACTCTAGGAACAGGACGGGAAGTGGTATTTGCTATCTCTGTCTTAGCACTTTATTAACACCTTGGAAAGTATTTTGGCCAGCTCTCGTACTTTTGCATCTTTCAAAATATCTAAGAGAATGCCAAATGCATGGAAGATACCCAATATCAATCTCTTAATATTATCAAATTAAGTCTCCTTATTTCTAATTTAATCCTCTTTCTATAACAAGCATTACCAATTTTCTAACTCTATTGAGGTACAATTTGCATACCATTCAAGTTCACTCATCTCTTAGGGTATAATTTTCTTTTTTTTTGGTAAATTTACCAAGTGTGAAACCATGACTATAAACCTAGTTTTAGAACATCTTCATCACCTCAAGAAGATCCCTCATGCCAGTTTACAGTTAATTTTTCCTTCCCATCCCTTGCCCCAGGCAACCACTCATCTACTTTCTGTCTCTATATATTTGCCTTTTTGGAAATTTCATATAAATGGACTCATACAACATGCAGCCTTTTCCTGTCTGGCTTCTTTTACTTAACATGATGCTTTGAGGTTCATCCATGTTGTAGCATGTAACAGCACTTTATTCTTTTTAATGCTGAATAGTATTCCATTGTATGGATATACCATATTTTATCTATTAACTAATTTATGTATCTTCGTTTCTACTTTTTAGCTATTATGAATAATGCTGCTGAACATTTGCAATATAGCACACTTCTATTTTTTTTAAAACAAGTATTTTTATAAAATCTTAAATATCAAAGAGATACTCACAATACTCAGTTTTACAAGCACTTCAAGTAGCTATCTTTAAGCGCCACTGAATGAGTTTACGATCAATACCTACAAAATTTATCAACCTCACCAAAGGATTTAAATGAAGTTATAAGCAGGCAGATACCTATCTATCCTGCTTGTCTTTAAGAAAATAAAGAATCTCAACAGCAAGCTTTTAGGCATGAGTTAAAAGCAGTATACAAAAAATCAGTAGTTCAGATTCAGAACACAAGAACTGAACAAATTACACCATACAGATTAGATTTTATTATTATACCAAACAGATTCTTAAACTCAGTAAATTATTAAGTGAAGTTATAGAAACACTCAAATTAAGACAACAACATGTATGAATGTTAATTGACATAAAAAGCCTTACTATTATTGGTGCTGTTGCCATTGAAAGACCCAGAAGAATTGTTATTGTCTTTCTCCTTATCTTGATTTTCAAAGTCCATATTAAGGGACCTGTGGAAAAAATTGTATAGGTAAGTTTTAGTTTTCCTTAAGAAACAAGTAGGTCAGAAAAGTCAGTAATGACACAATATTTTAAAATGCTAGGCATTAGGAAAGAAAGGAAGATCTCTTTTGAACAACTCTGCAAAACAGTTCTTTTTGCCTCATTTTAAAAAACAATCTACATTCCTTCCAATATGTCAGTTAAAGAGTTTTCCTGACTGCAGATAAAAGCATTCCATGGTGGCTTAATCTTCCAGCCCTATCTCTGTGCACATCCTTAATTACTTCCTTACGATAAACACCTAGAAGGAAAAATGCTGGGTCAGAGGGCAAGCACAATTCTGAGACTTTTACATATCACACAACTGCTTCCAAAAAGGGTGTACTGATCTACCCTCCAATAGCAGTGTATGAGAGTACTTGTTTCCCTACACCTTGTCAGCTTTCATTCAGCAAGAACAAATATTTGAGTTTCTGCTAATCTGGGACTGTTCTGGGTACTGGAGGGACAATAAATAGTGAGTAAAACAGGCTCTCATGGATTTTACCTTCAAAGGGGGGAAACCGACAATAAACAAGAAAAATAAGTTAAATATATGGTAGATTAATGGTAAGAGCTACGGAAAAAAAGCAGAAAATCAAGAAGTCAGGTTTGAAATTTTAAATAGGGTGGGCAGGCAGGGGCTCCCCGGCATGACTTCTGAGTCAAGATCTGAAGGAAGTAGTCATTGTCAATCTGCGGGACTAAAAATTCTCTCTGTCCTAATTTAGAATTCTTTAACTATTAAACAATTTTGTGCACGTGAGCTTGCCCGTTTCTTTCTTTGTGAGCTGACTACCTGTTCAAGTCCTTAACTCATTTTCTACTACTGTGTTCCTTCAAAGAAGGGGTTTATGTGTCCAAAAGAACTTCCTGTGATGATGGAAACGTGTTGTATCTGCACTGACCAACGTGGCAGACATTAGCGAAACTAACGCTTCTAATGTGGGAGTGCAACTGAGGAACTGAATTCTACATTTTAATTAAATTTAAATAATTTGAGAGCTAAAACTATAAAACCCATAGACAAAAATGGGTAAATCTTCATGACCTTGCATTTGTCAGTGGACTCTTAATGGGAGAAAATATGTGCTAATCGTATATCTGATAAGGGCCTTGTATTTAGAACGATATATAAAGAAATCTTACAATTCAATAATAAACAAATAATCCAATTAAAAATAGGCAAACGGGGGCCGGCCCAGTGGCGCAAGCGGTTAAGTGCGCGCATTCCACTGCGGTGGCTCGGAGTTCGCCGGTTCGGATCCCGGGTGCACACCGACACACTGCTTGTCAAGCCGTGCCGTGGCGGCCTCCCATATAAAGTGGAGGGAGATGAGGCATGGATGTTAGCCCAGGGCCAGTCTTCCTCAGCAAAAAAAGAGGAGGACTGGCAGATGTTAGCACAGGGCTGATCTTCCTCACAAAAAACAAAAAACAAAAAAAACAAAAAATGGGCAAAGGATTTGATCAGTCTGGCAATTTTCAATTTCTTTAATAAATACAGGGCTATTCATGTTATATATTTCTTCTTGAGTGAGCTTTGGCAGATTGTGTTTTTCAAAGAATTTGTCCGTTTCATCCTAGTCATCAAATTTATTGGCATAAAGTTGCTCATAGTAGTCCCTTATTATCCTTGTAATATCTGTAGACTCTGTAGTGATATCATCTCTCTTATTCCTGATATTAGTTTTGTCTTTTTTTCCTGATTAGTCTGGCTAGAGATTTATCAATTTTATTATCTTAAAAAATCACCTTTTGGGGCCGGCCCTGTGGCTTAGTGGTTAGGTGTGCGCGCTCCGCCGCTGGCGGCCCGGGTTCGGGTCCCGGGCGCGCACCGGGGCACTGCTTCTCCGGCCGTGCTGAGGCCGTGTCCCACATGCAGCAACTAGAAGGACGTGCAGCTGTGGCATACAACTATCTACTGGGGCTTTGGGGGGGGGGAAGGAGGAGGATTGGCAATAGATGTTAGCTCAGAGCCGGTCTTCCTCAGCAAAAAGAGGAGGATTAGCATGGATGTTAGCTCAGGGCTGATCTTCCTCACACACACACAAAAAAAATCACCTTTTGGTTTCACTGATTTTTCTCTAACAATAAAGAAAATCTATTTCATTTATTTGGCTCTGGTCTTTATTCTCACCTTTTGTCTGCTTACTTTGGGTTTAATCTGCTCTTTTTTCTAGTTTATTAAGGTAGAAGCTTAGACAGATCATTGACATCTTTTAATTCTATTCTAATCTAGGCATTTAGAACTATAATTCCTCCCCTAAGTACTGCATTTGCAGCATCCCATAAATTTGGTGTGTCGTGTTTTCATTGTCTTTTAATTCAAAATATTTTCCAATTTTCTTCTTGATTTCTTTCTTTTTCAAATTTTTAAAATTTTATTTACTTTCGTGAGGAAGATTAGCCCTGAGCTAACATCTGTTGCAGATCCTCCTCTTTTTGCTAAGGAAGATTGGCCCTGGGCTAACATCTGTACCCATCTTCCTCTACTTTATATGGGACGCTGCCACAGCATGGCTTGATAAGCAGTGCGCCAGTCCGTGCCTGGGATCCAAACTCGTGAACCCTGGGGCGCCGAAGAAGTGGAGCATGCAAACTTAACCACTACGCCACCAGGCTGGCCCCCTTGATTTCTTTTTTGATTCATGGAAGTGTTACCTTTGTTTCAGATATCTGGGGATTTTCCAGAGATCTTTCCAGTGTTTACTTCTTATTTGATTCAATTGTGATCTGTTATGGACTGAATGTTTGTACCCCCACAAAGTTCATTTTTTGAAGCCCTAACCCCCAATGTGATGGTATTTGGTGTTGGGATCTTTGGGAGGTAATTAGAGTTAGATGAAGTCAGGAGGGTAGTAGGGTCCTCATGGTGGGATTAGTACCCTTCTAAGAACAGATATCAAAAAGCTTGCTTTTTCTCGCCATGCGCATGCATCGAGGAAAGACCATGTGAAGACAGAGAAATTGGCTGTCTATGAGCCAGGAGGAGTCCTCACCAGAACCCAACCATGCTGGCCCCCTGAACTTTAGACTTCTAGCCTCCAAAACTGTGAGAAAATAAATTTCTGTTGTTTAAGCCACCCAGTCTGTGGTTTTTTGTTATGACATTTCGACCTAACCAATAAAGATCAGAGATCATACTTTGTATGCCTTGAATCCTTTTATTGAGACTTGTTTTATGTCCCCAAATATGTTCTATCGTGGTAAATGTTCCATGTTCACACGAGAAGAATGAGTTTTCTGTTGTTGGATAGAGTATTCTACAAGTGTTGATCAGGTCAAGATGGTTGAGAATACTGTTCCAGCCACTATATCCTTGCTGATTTTACGACTACTTGTTCTATCAATTATTGAGAGAGGGGTACTGAAATCTTCAGTTACACTTGTGGAGTTTTTTTTATTTCTCCCTGAAGTTCTATCAGTTTTTGCTTCATGTATTTTAAAGATCTTTTATTAGATGCATAAACATCTAGGACTATAGTCACGCACCGCTTAACAACAGGGATACGTTCTGAGAAATGTGTTCCTGGGCGATTTTGTCACTGTGTAAACATCATAGGGTGTACTTATACAAACCCAGATGGTATAGCCTACTACACACCTAGGCTATATGGTACTAATCTTACGGGACCACCATCATATATGCGGTCTGTTGTTGACCGAAATGTTGTTACGCGGTCCATGAATATATTATATCTCGTTGCTTAACTGACACTTTCATCATTATGAAATAATCTTCTTTGTCTTCTTTGTGGTAATATTACTTGCTCTGAAAGCTGCTTTGTCTGATATTAACATAGCCACTCCAGCTTTCTTTTGATGAGTGTAAGCAAGGTATATCTTTTCCCTTTTATTTTAAATCTTTTTCCTCTTTATATCTATAGTGTGCTTCTTGTCAGCAGCATGTAATTGGATCTTGCTTTTTAATTCAATCTGACAATTGCTGCCTTTTAATTGGGGTGTTTAGCCCAATTTCATTTAATGTGATTATTGCTGTGATTAGGTTTGAGACTATCATGTTGCTATTTATCCTGTTTTTTTTTGTTCCTCTTTACTTGCCTTCTTTTGGGTTAATACAGTATTTTTAATGATTCTATTGTATCTCCTTTGTTTTCTTATTAGCTGTAACTCTTTGTTCTTTTATTTTAGTGGTTGCTGTAAAGTTCATAGTATATATTTTTAACCAACAGTCCACCTGCAAGTTATATTATACTACTTCGTGTATAGTATAAAAACCTTCCAACAGTTTACATTTATTTTTCCTGCTCTCAACCTCTGTACTATTATTGCCATGCATTTTACTTTTACACATTATGCTGTAAACTCTACAACATACTGTTACTATTTTTGTTTATACAGTCAATTATCTTTTATTAAAGATTTTTTTTATTTTTTTTTTTTCCCCCCAAAGCCCCAGTAGATAGTTGTGTGTCATAGCCGCACATCCTCCTAGTTGCTGTATGTGGGACGCGGCCTCAGCATGGCCGGAGAAGCAGTGCGTCGGTGCGAGCCCGGGATCCGAACCCGGGTCGCCAGCAGTGGAGCGCGCTCACTTAACCACTAAGCCACGGGGCCGGCCCACAGTCAATTATCTTTTAAACAGTTTTAAATAATAAGGAAAAAACCTTTTATATTTATCAATGTTGTTACTATTTCTGGTGGTCTTCATTCCTTTGTGTAGATCCAGATTTCCAACTGGTACCACTTTTAATCTGCTTGAAGTATTTCCTTTAACATTTCTTGTATTGCAAGTTGGTTGGTAATGAATTCTTTTAGGTTTTCTGCGTCTCAAGACATCTTTATTTTGCCTTCATTTTTGAAAGATATTTTTGCTGTAGAGTTCTATGTTGACAGTTTCTTCTTTCTGTGCTTTAAAGCTGTTGTTCCACTGTCTGCTCACTTGTATTGTTTTCAGTGAGAAATCAGATGTCCATCCTTATCTTTGTACCTCTGTATGTGATAT